TACCCAACATGACAGGTGCAATAGAACGATCCCTTGGTGTTGGTACAGTTAGCATCAGCATGACAGTTGTGTGCGTAGTGGTCGTGGTAAAGGGCTAGGGCTGTTGTCTTGCACTCATTTATGTCTTTTTACCGATTGAAATAAAAATGAACTAAGACTTTACTAATGAAAAATATTGGAAGGAAAAAATAAACGCTATTTATAAAATATAAAACAAAAACAGGAAGTGCACTATCCTGGAGAAAAACGTTATAAAAGAAATATGAGAAATAACTCACCAACACACATGACTCCATCTCCAGAGTATCCCGTATGACAGGTACAATAGAACGATCCCTTGGTGTTGGAACAGTTAGCATCAGCATGACAGTTGTGACTAAGATGCTTGTAGCGATCGGATATAGCATTTGGAAAACATTCATTTATATCTGTATACAATACACAAAAGAAAGCACTTTTAGACGAAAGTCGATAGAGGGAAAAGGAAAAAATGGGCCATCAATCAGAATATGTAGAGGTACCGAATAATTTATTTGATTGACGGCAGTATACTGCCCGTTTTTTCCTGTCCTGTTTCTCCATTAGGGTGTTGCAATAAAAAAGTGGCAAAACGTAGTTTTTCAAAAACATGTATTTCGAGTACCAAAATCTGCAAAAACTGTATGCCAGGTTTGTAGTAACCTAGTTAGTATTTTTGTAAAAAAAAAAAACGGGATTTTACTCGTCAAAGTAAATTGGAATGTTGATTCAAAGCAAAAATGATTTATAAGCTGCACGATGATAGCTGTAAATGGTTTGTGAGAAGTAAAAATGAAACTTCTTTCAGTTTAACCAAACCAAAAACTGTGCTCTTGTGTTCTCTAGTTTTTGGTGTTTTTATTAATATATATGCAATAAATTAACGTATGCAGTAAATTCCCTCTTAAATTATTACATTTACGCGTGAATCTGATCGGAGCTGTTTCAAGGAGCAGAAATTTTTGCGCAATGTCATTATGAAGTTATTTATTAAGATCCTCATTAACAAACACTAGCAAGAAAATCTGCTAAAGAAACCACTGCAAAAGAAGAAATTCTTACCGACACACGTGACTCCATCTCCCGAGTACCCAACATGACAGGTACAGTAGAACGATCCCTTAGTGTTGGTACAGTTAGCATCAGCATGACAGTTATGAGCGTAGTGACTGTGATATACTGCTAGTGCCGTGGATTGGCACTCGTTGATGTCTAATGCCAAAGAAAACAATACAAATACGCAATAAAATTATTTTAAGAATATAGCACTCTCCGAACATTGTTAAGAGGAATGGGTGTTACGTTAGCTCTTCGAATAACGCATGCGCAAAGACAGGCGCAGGAAAATGTCCAGAAATCTGTGCTCGAGATAATAACGCCTGCAGGAGTTCATGAAGTATGGAAACAACCGAAATGCCTGAGATTATCAAAGGATTATCGAAGTATAAACTCACCGACACAAGTGACTCCATCTCCAGAGTACCCAACATGACAGGTACAGTAGAACGAACCCTTGGTGTTGGTACAGTTAGCATCAGCATGACAGTTATGTCCGTAGTGACCGTGGTAAGGAGCTAGAGCTGTGGTTCGACATTCGTTGATATCTGAAGCAAGCAGAATGTACTGGTTTATTCCAAACATCTTTCCAAATCCATCTTAGTGGTCACAATTTTGTTATATGACAATAAAAACTTGAACTCACCAACACACGTGACTCCATCTCCTGAGTATCCCGTATGACAGGTACAGTAGAACGATCCCTTGGTATTGGTACAGTTAGCATCAGCATGACAGTTGTGCGATAGATGTTTATATTTACTTGAAATAGCAGCCGGAAAGCATTCGTTTATATCTGCAAAAGCTTGTCTCAATTACACTTACTCAAAGTAAGTCTTTTCTGCAGCTATCATTAGTTTGCCGATTCGGTGCCAGATACTTATGGTCCCTCTTTACTAACCTTTAGTGGAGAAGACCCGTGAGCATCTGAGACAAACTAATGACGGCTACGGAAGACACTACCTTTGTCACTATTTCACTTACTATGATAGTGACAATGCTTTATTTAGTACCATTAGTTGCAATATCTCTATTTACATAATATACAAAAATCGTAACAATCTGAATGTAATGTTAAACACATAATGCAGTTGGCAGAATCAGTAAAAAATATTTATGAAGAGGGGAGGTGAAGAGGGGAGGTGGAGGGAAAATGCTTTCGCTTCAGATGTTTAGCGAGCGAGAGACTACAAGCGATGTGTTACACCTTCCCAAGTCAAGGAATTAACCACGTGACCGGAAGTTAAGACAATTCGGTATATTAACCTGAAACTTACCAACACACGTGACTCCATCTCCTGAGTATCCCGTATGACAGGTACAGTAGAACGATCCCTTGGTATTGGTACAGTTAGCAGCAGCATGACAGTTGTGAGCATAGTGACTGTGACGAGGAGACAGAGCATTGGCGTGGCATTCATCGATGTCTGTAGTAGATAATAGTAGGAATAGAAGTGTGAGAACAATAATCTATCAGTATAATTTATTATTTTGAAAAGTATTTATGATAAAACTTACCAACACATGTCACTCCATCTCCTGAGTATCCCGTATGACAGGTACAGTAGAACGATCCCTTGGTGTTGGTACAGTTAGCATCAGCATGGCAGTTGTGTGCGTAGTGACCGTGGTAAAGGGCTAGAGCTGTTGTCTTGCACTCGTTTATATCTGCATAATGCAATATTGTGATCATACCACTTTGTAAGACTCGGGTTTATAATGTTTTGTCACTAAGCTAAGTACTTTTTTTCTAATTATCTTTTGTTTTCTTTTCTCCATATGTTATCGCGTTCACATCATTTTGGCTAGCCGTGGAAGCCAAAGTTCCTTTGACAAGACAAGGTGCGAAGCTCAGTGCGTAAAGGTTATTCAGCAAGTTTAATTTAGGACATTTTGGACTTAACATATGTATTACCGGACCATTTCCCTTATCAATTCAGAGTTTAACATAATCAACCAATATAAAATGTCTTTGTGTAAACAAAAGTTTTGACGTTTGAAACTAGCTGGATCAGGAGCTTATAACTAAGAAGTATAGGCATGAAAAAAAAAAAAAAA